TGCGAGGTACTATATATTGAGCACAATCAGCAGAAACGATTAAAAATACTCTTTCTGTACCATTGTATTCGGTGAGCCACTGTTCGCATTGGTCATTGTTCTTAAACAAGTGAGTACGTGGTACCATTGATGTCAGAAGTTTTAGTTTTATCTCAAATGAATTATCTTGACTGACATCCGAGGAAATCCAACTGGGTAACACTTGTTTTATCATGGGTTTCTCGTCAGGTTGACTAACTGGATGAAATTGTGGAAAAAAAATGATTAACGTGAATACCGTTATTAAAAAAAAGCAACAGCATGTAGAAAAATGATCTGCTCTATCCATGATAAAGTCTATGATTTCTGATAAGTAGTTTTCCATATTTTCAAATAAGTCTCCTTCGGTATTCTTGAAAAAGAAGAATGTCTCAGTTGTGCGTTCTTTGTCAAGTAAATGCGAAGGAAGAAATAAAAATTTGTTTGTTCGGGGAATAACTGGAAAACGTAGTACATAGCATTTGATATTTTAACAAGCACAGCGTTGAAAGCAATTTCACCGGTAATGGAAAAAATCTTATGTTGGGAAAAATCTTTTGCGTTCTTTTCAAGTTGATTGAACAGACTATAACAGAAAGTCGACTGACGTAAATTAAGGAAAACTGTAATTGCGTATGAAAGAAATACAACGGTCCGCTACTAGCGAACCGCTATCCTTATCCTAACAATGAAAGTGTCGGTGTATTGCGACTGCACAGACAAATATTTGATGTAAACAGTGGTGACCGAGGACACAAGCTCATTTGATATCTACTTTATTCAGTTAGCATATACATTTACTAGTGAAATGAAATACAGTGATATTTGAATGTTTTTCTGAAAGCTTTCCTATGGACTAAAGATGGATGCCTTTGACGGCACTATTTTGTTTCGTTTTCATCTAAATATGATTGTGCGACACTTCGTGGGCGATCAATTTATTATTGTCGGATAGGTTGCTTTGGGGGTGAGGGTGATGCTTGTATATAAGTTTTGTATGCTGTAAGGCAATGAAGTTATAACACAAAACAGTGCCTGAGCAATGATCAACGATGTTGTCTTGGTGCTTGACGACCCAAGTGTTTAACTTGAATGTAAGTTAAATAGCCAAAGACAGTTAACAAAATGAACGGAACGAAGGAATAAAACACGAGAAGGAGAAAGTAAGCGAGACCATGTGTAAAATCTTTCGATGGCAAGACGTAAGATGTAACAGCAAACGAACTCTGCATGAAACAAATAATGAAAGTATTTGTCAGCTTTGCTCTCAAACTTATTTATTCATATTTTCTCACCGCGACGACAGCATTGTAAAGCATTTGACGTATTTGCACGAATGACCATAACAATGAGTTTATAATAAAAAATACGCGTATAAGGTAGCAACAAACAATACACCAGTGATATAACTTCGACTTTTACAAACCGCTGGATTGTAGAAGAATAAATCAATACCTCCTTATACTGTGAAACTGTTTGTCACTATTCGATAAGCAAGTGTAATACAGAAAAAAGTCATATCCCAAACAGTTGCAACGAAGTTTTTTCTTTAAGAATACTATTAGCAGTACAGTTAAACATCCAAAAGTGTCAACAGAAAAAAGATACCGACAATTTGATCGACATATTGAGCATATTTAATAAGGTCATTCAGCGATGGCACCATCTTCGATTTTGTTTGCGAAATGCTATTTTTCTCCATATGTTTACGCGTTATAAAGTTCTATAAAGTAGACTGTCATTATACACCTGTTAGTTTTCTCTCGTATTTTCATTTAATAATTATAAAGATTTTATATCCGCCTTACAGTAAGAGTAATATTTCGAAGAACTACGAAGACAACAATGTAAAGATCGAACACTAATCCTACATTACTATATCGCATTATTGATCGAATACTACGAAAAGTACCTACGAGCATCAGTAACTAACGAGGGAACATATTCAGGTGATTAAGCTATTCAAATCCCATCTTTTGGTGATAGATAGACCTCTATGAGGTATGAAAAACCTCAAGAGGATTCGTGCCCTCGCGCCTTTGTTCCACAGATATTGAGTTCTCAAGATGTATACGAAAAGAGACTGAAATGAAGGATGATCGTTTTTATAGAACAGTAGAGTTTTCAGGTGAAAA